ATGCAGCAGACCTCTCCAGGGCGGCCCGTGCAGCGGCGGTACTGGCCACCTGGGCCACCGCATTGGACAACCCACTCACGAAGCTGCTGCGGCGAGAGAGTCTCCTGCTGACGCTGCTGCTGCTGCTGTTGCCCACCCCCTGAACCTCTGCCTCCACCAGTTGCATTGCCTGACGCAGCTCCTCGGGTAGCCATACCCAAGCCTCCACCCCCGCCAGCTCGACCCCGACCACCGCGCGTGCCCCCTCCACCATCCCCACCACCCCTACTACCCCCACCACCCCCGCGACCTCCACCGCCATCGCCACCTCCACCACCCCCACTACCGCCACTGCCACCACCCCCGTCACTGCCAGCGCTAGGCCCCCTACACCACCACCACCGCCCCCACCCCTTGTACATCCACCCTTGCCGCCGCGACGCCTCCCGCTAGGGGCAGACGCAGCACTGACCTCCTCAGCTCTAAGGAAGTCAACAGCAGCACCAGAGGCAATAGCACGCGCTAGGAGGGAGGGGGAGCACCCCACAAAGAAGGAGGGGAGGGGAGTGCCACAGGAGGCAACTACAGTGTGGGCACTGGTATCAGTCTTGAGGAGACGGGACTCAAACGAGGCAAGGGTGATCTCAGTGGGGTCTTGTGAAAGGAAGTGGTCACGAACGGCGCAAAGATAGTCAGGGAGGCGAGTCATGAGGAAGTAGAGAGTGAGATACATAGGGGGCTGGTTCGTAGTCAGAAACTCTGGTGGGAGAACAGCACAGCAGCGCGTATCAAGAGAGCGCAAGCGAGTAATGAGGTCGGCTATAGTGGCAAAAACGGATAGCTCAGGGAATAGGAACGGCAGAGCCAGACGACATAGGCAGCAGACTAGGGGGAGGAGTAGCGCTTGACTACAACGGCATAGAGAGCTTTGGTTGCGGACAGCAACCTGGGCAGTGGCATCACGGAAAAGCCACTGTAGAGACAATGCGATCAGTCCGATACTGCTGTCGCTCAGTATCGCTAGCGAATGGGCCAGGGTTAGTAGGAGTAGGCGGGGCCTTAAGGGAACTGGATGAATGCTCAAACAGCGAGGCATCGTCCTTGGTAACGCTCTGCAGGTACAGGTGAAGGTCCTCTAGCCAGGACTCATACTCGATCGGGTGGCCCTTTGCGTCAAAAGTCTGTATAGTGGCAGACGCCATGGTAGGTAGCACAGTAGTGCGGCGCACGGGCAGCATCTGCGCTCAGGTAGTGTAATAATAGCTGTAGCAGTGGCGGCTGCGGCTGCGACAGCTGTAGCAGCAGCTGCGGCGGCGGCACTAGCGGCGGCGGGTAGCGGTGGCTGCAGCAGCAGTGGCGGCAGCAGCGGCGGTTGGAACAACAGTAGGGGCAACAGTGGCAGCTGTAGCAGTGCCAGAGGCGGCAGCGACGGCTATAGCAGTGCTGCGGCTGCAGTGGCGGATGCGGCGGCTGTAACAGCAGCAGATGCGGGTAGCGGTGGCTGCAGCAGTGGCGGTGGCGGCAGCGGTGGTTGTAGCAGCAGCAGGGGCAGCAATGGCGACTGCAGCATTGCCAGGGGTGGCAGTGGCGGCTGTAGCAGTAGCTGCGGCTGCAGTGGCGGCTGCAGCGGCTCTAGCAACAGCCGCGGCGGGTAGCGGCGGCTGCAGCAGCAGTGACAGCGGAAGCGGGGGTTGGAGCAGTAGCAAGGGTAGCACCGGCAGTTGTAGCAATGCCAGCGGCGGCAGCGGCGGCTTTAGCAGTACCAAAGGCGGAAGCGGTGGTTGTAAGAGCAGCAGTGGCAGTTAGCGGCGCGCGGGGCAGCGGGGCGTGCGGGGCAGCGTCACGCGGCGGCCGGAGATGCAGGGAAGCAACGCACGAAGCAGTGCCACGTAGGGCAGCGGCACGTGGGGCAGCGGCGTGCGGGGCAGCGGGGCTGGCGGCACAGTGGCACGCAGGGCAGGGACGCGCTGAGCAGTCGTGCGCGGGGTAGCGGGGCGTGGGGCAGGGGCGCGCACTGTGCAGTAGCGTGTGGGGCAGGAGTGTGTGGGGCTGCAGTGCGCGTTGGGCAGAGCAGCACGACAGCGCGTAGGGCAGGGCATGGGGCAGGGCAGCGCGTCAGCGCGGGGCAGGGCATGGCCTACTAACGAGCGGTTCATACTCTACTAATTAAGCTAGAATCAAAATCCTGCTCTGAAACTGTGTCAAAGTTGGAAGAATGGAATTACTAGAAGGGAAGAACACAAGGATATTAGTGTCAAACCCTAATGGGTTGTACCCTGCAAAGGCACCCCACTACAACCTACAGCATCATACAACACACATGTAATTTGACAGAATCATCTCAAAACTCTCTAAAACGAATAAACACGTCTTCCACCCGTTTAAAGCCCGAGGTCAACATGGTAAAATATCAAGTTATGTGGGTTTGAAATAGTGTTGGCGAAACCTTGAAAACAAGAATTTCGGTAAAGTCAGTGTAGCGAGAAAGAGATGGGTTGACGAGGGGGAAAGGGGTCTCGCCAAACGTGACGCGGTGGAACTGCGACTGGAATGAGTATCGCTAGGATTGTTCTTCAGCCAATCAGGTTCAAGTAGGGGAGAATGGCCTCGCAGAATCCAACTACCAGCAAAATTGAAAACGGAAAGCACCAACCACCTCAGAAGAAAACACCACGATCTAACAAGCTAACCACTTCACGTGTGAAATAACTGCAGTAGCTAACAACAACGGAAAGTTCAAACGTAGGTGACGTGCCAGAACATGTACATGCGGGGTCGATGGAAGGAGCGTTGAGAAGAGCGTGAAACAGCGCGATATGGGAGTACTGCGGCGACTCGACATGGGGACTGCGGAAGGCGGGGGAAATCGGTTCTGATCGCGCGATGATAGAGCTGTCCACTGGCGCAACTTGCGGCAGACGCAACGCCAGACGGCGGAGGAGAAAAGGAGCAGATACTGGGGGTGGAAGGGGAAGAAGGGGGGAAAGAAAATCGGGGGCTTGGCGCGCGACAGGAGAGATGCTCCGCTTGTGACGTGATCTGCGGCAGGCGCATTGGCGCGCTGCCGCTCCTCATCGCGCAGCCGTGCGCTGCTCACGGACATAGCGGAATAAGGCGCGGAAGGGGATAACGCGCGGAAGGGGATATCGCGCGGAAGGGGATGAGGCACGGAAAGAGATGACGGACGGAAGGGGATGAGGCGCGGAAGGGGATGAGGCACGGAAGGGGATGAGGCGCGGAAGGGGATGAGGCGCGGATTCCCATGATTCCCCTCCTTTCCCCCCTTCCTTCGCCTCCTTTCCACCCTTGCTTCCCCTCCTTTCCCCCCTTGATTCCTCTCCTTTTCCCCCTTCCTTCGCCTCCTTTCCACCCTTGCTTCCCCTCCTTTCCCCCCCTGATTCCCCTCCTTTCCCCCCTTCCTTTGCCTCCTTTCCACCCTTGCTTCCCCTCCTTTCCCCCCCTGATTCCCCTCCTTTCCCCCCTTCCTTCGCCTCCTTTCCCACCTTGTTTCCCCTCCTTTCCCTCCCTGCCCCCCCTCCTTTCCCCCCTTGCTTGCCTCCTTCCCCCCCCTGCTCCCCCTCCTTTCCCCCCTTGCTTCCCCTCCTTTCCCCCCCTGCTCCCCCTCCGTTCCCCCCTTGCTTCCCCTTCTTTCCCCCCCTGCTTCCCCTCCTTTCCCCCCCTGCTTCCCCTCCTTTGTCCCTCTCCTCTCCTTCATTTTCCCCTGCTGCTTGCCGCTGTTCCTCTCCTCCCTTCCCTCTCCTCCCACGTCCAATCCCCTCCCTCCCCTCTCCTCCCTCGTCCAATCCCCTCCCTCCCCTCTCCTCCCTCGTCCAATCTCCTCCCCTCCCTCTCCCATCTTCCCTACCCCCCCGAATCCTTCTATCCCCTTTTCTCCTCCACCCCCTCTTCCTATCTCCTCCTCCTCTTCCTCTCTCCTATCCCCTCGTTTACCCCCCTGCTAGCCCCTTTCTTCTCCCATGCTAGCCCCCTGTTCCCTCCCTTCTAGCCCCCTATTCCCTCCCTCGTCCAATCTCCTCACATGCACCCTTCCTCTCTTCCGCACTTCCCCCTTTCCTCTCTGTCCCGCCTTTCCTCCCTTGCTTCCCCTCATTTTCTTTACCCCCTTTCTTCCCCTCATTTTCCCCCTTGCTTCCCCTCATTTCCTCCCGTGCTTCCCCTCATTTCCTCCCGTGCTTCCCCTCATTTCCCCCGCTGCTGCCACTCATTTCCCTCCCTGCTTCACCTCATTTCCCTCCCTGCTTTCCCTGTTTGTACCCCCCTGCTTCCCCTCGTTTCCCCCTCTTCTTCCCCTCATCTCATCTTCCTCTCTCTCTCTCTTTCCCTCTCCCCCTCTCCCATATCTCCCATATCTCCCCTGTTTGACCTTTGTTCCCCCTCCCAATCCCTCGTATTGTCTCCCTCTCCCTCGCTATTGCAGTGACTACACTGAAGATTTTTCTGGTACTGCAACTCGCCTCAGCCCATCATCCCATGCCATGCTCGTAGAGAAACCAGTTCCCCTCATGTTTTCTCAAGGCATTGAGAAAGGTACAATCAGAAGTATTAGGAACATGCCTCTATGTACCCTTCTGACACTCTTACTGTCCATGCATCTTGTAAGAATATCTTGCACTGCAGAAACAAAAGTACCGTCATCGCCTGGATAGAAGACATATGTGTCTTAACTCATATGGGATTGAAAAAGGCCACTGTATCTTGTAAACGGAATCAAATGGGTGTCTTATAAATCTTATAAACGGAATGGTTACTTTTTGTATTATCGCACATACCGGAACACGTAATAAAGAGTGCTTTTTTGTTTGGCGGGATCAAGGACCCAACAGGGGACCGGTTCCTCGTCCCCATCCAATGTTTGGCGTATGTGCCCACACTTTGCAGCATTTTGCAGCCTCTGCATCAACTTGCAAAGTGGGCTGCATCATGTGTGGCAGCGTGGATGCCCCTGTTGCAAGGACACCCCCTCATCTGCGGTATCAGTCCTCTACGGATGTTGCCCTTACATGAGGGGGTCCAGGATATGGTACATCAGTGTGCTCATTTTGCTATTCGAATCCCTTCTCTCCTCATGTTTCCTAACTTCTCTCGCCGCCATGCGTAGCAAACAGCCTGGTGCGCCTGCTCTGTACATTGCAAACAGCGGGCGTATCAATTCGGCGGGCGACGATGTCACCATCGTCGTTGGAGGCAGCACTGCAAAGCCCACTGGGCGTAAACAACCCGCCGTCAAAAACATGGTCGCGAGCTGTGAGGAGTCTGATGTCGCCGGAGTAGAGGATGACGAGGAGGAATGGCCCGAGGACGGGCGCTATGAAGATGACGAAGACACCCGTGACGTGGAGGCGGACATCGAGGAGGACGAGTGGTGGAACCGTGACTACGGCGGTGAGGAGGTGGAGGAGTGGCACGCGGGTGACAGCGAGGACGAGAACATCGCCGGGGAGGCGAAGGCTGCGTCCGACGCCACCGCGGAGATGGACGGTGCTGCTGAGGCGACCGACGCAGATGCCAATGCTGATGCCGCGGCCGCTGCATCTAAGGAGGATTCGGACGAAGATCCGTGGAGCATGGACGATGTCCCCCTGTTTCGAAGGCGCGTCAAGTACCACGTTGACAAGGGCACCAAGCCGAGACTCACAGCCGCTGAGAAAGGGAATGTACCGCTTGGTGAGGGTAGCAGCAAGGGGACCCGTGGCAAGGCGAACGTTAACAAGGAGGGTGACAGGAAGAATCGTCGCAAGGGGACCCGTGGCAAGGCGAAGGCCGATGAGGGTTGCAGGAAGGGTGACGGAGGCGACGGTGAAGCCGAACCATGCTCGGATGAGGACTACGCTGAAGCAGCAGGCCCATTACCTACCTACCTGGAGAAGCGAAAGCCTAAAGACCCGCATGACAAGAATCCAAATGCTCGGTCCCCGTCACCTCGCGGCCGCGGCGTCAAACGGACGAGGCGACCCTGGTCTGTAAAGGAGAAGGTCAAGTGGGCCTTGAGGTACGGCGAGCTGGAGTCGCTGAAGAAAACCGCGCTAGAGGCTGGAGCATCTGTGGCTACGATACGTCGCTGGGTCGGGCAGAAGGAGAGCGGCGTGTTCAAGGGTGCTGCCAGCAGTCGGAAACGCATGCATGGTGCAGAGCGCCACTCTCACCACCCCGATATGGAGGAGGCGCTTTATCGCTACATCTGCATCAACCGCGCCAAAGGAGTGGCAGTTTCCGTGAAGGACTTGCAGGAGTGGAGTCACACATTGATGAAGAAACACCGTCCAGGGACCGGGTGGACCGCATCCTCTCATTGGAGCCAGCGTATTAGGGATCGGTGGAACCTCGTCATTAGAGTGAAGACCAAGGTTGGTAAAAAAATGTCCAACGGTGAGTCCTCTATCTCCCTATGGCCCTTCTATTAAACCATCCGTGCATGTTCTGCTGCAATGTTGCTCAAAAGTACACCGAATTCCGAAACATGATCCACTCATTCTTTTTTTCTCTGTGCTCTTTGTACGGTGCGCAGATTGTGCGGAGGATTGCGAGTCCTTTTGGAAATTTGTCCGCATCAGCCGCGTTCGGCACGCCATCGACTTGTCACGCATCATCGATGCGGATCAAACGCCACTCTTCGTCGAGATGCCTGCAGCGAGGACGGTTGAGCACCGAGGGACGCGGTCCGTGCCTATCAGGATGGCGGGCTATGAGAAACAACGAGTGACTGTGATGCTGGCGTGCACTGCAGCGGGTGAAAAACTCCGGCCGTGGGTATGGTTCAAGCTGAAGAATGTTCCAAAATGCGTCATACCAACAGGTAAGAATAATCTCTGTGATTCGACGTTCTGGAACCCGAATCCGGGAATGGCGTGCTGGCTATTATCTGATGTGTGCTCTATTGAGGTGTGTAGGCATCGTGGCACAAGCACAAGACAACGGCTGGATGGATGAGGCGGCCGTCAGCACATGGCTCACCAAGGAAATCTTGCCTTTCCTGAACCCGGAGAAGGGGAAAGCGGCCAAGCGTGCGATGCTTGTACTGGACTCATACCGGGGGCATATCACCCCGGGCATGCTAGCGGCGTACCGCACCCACAGCATCGTGCCAGCCATCATCCCCGCTGGCTGCACCTCGCTGCTTCAGCCGCTGGATGTCGCGATCAACTGGGCCTTCAAAGCCGGTGTTCGGGCGCGGTATTGCCGGTGGTTCATGCGGCACGGCATTAACATGCGCACCCCAAAAGGTGAGTTTGGATTCTACTCGTGCGATGCGTTTGCATGGACCAACAAATGCGCTGCTGTTGCAAGTTTTGGTATTGACAGGAAACCTCAAGCGCCCGTGCCGGTTTCTGATTCTGCACTGATGTTGCTTGTCTTGGCAGTGGCAGGAAACCTCAAGCGCCCGCCGCATGCGTTGGTGCTCCAGTGGATCGACGAGGCTTGGGATGATGTCCCGAGCGAAATCATCATCAAGGCCTTCAAGACGTGCGGCATTTCCAGTAGCCTTGACGGCAAGGAGAACCACCTCGTCTTGGCCCACCAGCGAGAAAGGAGCACGATAGATGTCTCTGAGGACATGTTGCTGCGGGGGACGACGGGTGACAACAGTGGGTTTGTGGGGAGAGACGGCACCGTAGAGGTAACAGAGGAGGACCTTGTGGCGAACTTCGAAGAGGACGTGGTGCCCCCTGCAGCAGCTGCGACTCCAGCCACTGATGACCCCTACCCCGACACCGCAAACTACAGAGGTGCAGCGGTAGCTGCAGATAAGCTCGTGGAGCCTGAAGAGACCGCCAAGCACGCATGGACAGTAGCAGGAGCAGCACGAGAAGGCCGCTCATCCCGTGCTAGAGTGACTGATGCAGAATGTGTGACTGCTGAGTGAAAAAAAAACACTAAATACGGTATTTTGTCCTAGCTAGACATGTGTGTGCTACGTATTTGACAATTTGCTGCTAGGAAACTCTGCATTCCATTTAGAAGACACCCCAGGAGGGGTGCCTTATCTTATATAGCCCCATGGGTATCTTATAAACAGAAGTTCCGTTTATAAGAAATCACCCGTTTAAAAGACACTATGTCTTCAATTCAACACTATCTTCTATCCGGGCGATGACGGTACATGTTGTGCCTTTGGGATGGATATCTCCAGAAGTAACGAAGTAACATGCTTGCATACAACACACAAGAAACAGGCAGTGGTACGGTGTAAAGCGTCTACTACTTGCACCTCAGCTTGCTCCTCTGCTTCACCACTGAAATTTAGGGGAGTGGAGTTGGCAGAAAGAATTCTGTGAAGAAACATGGGGGAGGTGGTGTGAGGTGCAAGGGAACAACGCCAAGGGGATACAAGCAAGGGCACATGATGAAAGCATGTATGGGGAGACAGTGATGGGTGCACATGCATGGGAACTCCAGGGCGGAAGGGGGGGAGGGCATGAAAAGGAAGGGAAGGGTTGAGAAGGGATGGGGAAGGGAAGGGCAGGGCAGGGAGGGAAAGGCAGGGATGGGGAGGGCAGGTGGGAACAGGGCAGAGGGTGGGGGGAATTAGGGAAGGGGATGGGGGGAAGCAGGGAAGGGGATGGGGGGAAGCAGGTAGAGGGTGTGGGGGGAAGCAGGGCGGAGGGAGGGGGAAGCAGGGAGGAGGGAGGGGGGAAGCAGGGAGGAGGGAGTGGGGAAGCAGGGAGGAGGGAGGGGGGAAGCAGGGAGGAGGGAGTGGGGAAGCAGGGAGGAGGAAGTGGGGAAGCAGGGAGGAGGGAGTGGGGAAGCAGGGAGGAGGGAGTAGGGAAGCAGGGAGGAGGGAGTGGGGAAGCAGGGAGGAGGGAGTGGGGAAGCAGATGAGGCGAAGGATAATAGATTGGGGGGTAAACAGAGCTGGTGGGAGAAAAGGAGGTTGGTCAAAATAAAGAGGGGTGTAAACCTTTAGGGGGAATTGAGGTCGACGGGGAGAGGGAGTGAGGGAAGTACCCGCTCTCACCCTCTGTCTCTCACTCTCTACCCCTTCCCCTCTATTCCTCCCCCTCCATCCTTCCCCTTCTGTCTCTCACTCTCTGCCCCTCCCCCTCTATTCCTCCCCCTCCGTCCTTCCCCTTCTGTATTCCCCCCTTTGCACTTCACCCTCTGTCTCTCCACCTGTGTCCTTCCCCCTCTGTCTCTCCCCCTTTGTCCTTCCCCCTCTGTCTCTCCCCTGCTGTCCTCCCCCCTCTCCCCCTTGTCCTTCCCCTCATGTCCGTGGGTGGGAAGGAAGGAGCGAGAGAGAGGGTGGGAAGGAAGAGAGAGAGAGATAGAGAGAGAGAGAGAGAGAGAGAGAGAGAGAGAGAGAGAGAGAGAGAGAGAGAGAGAGAGAGAGAGAGAGAGAGAGAGAGAGAGAGAGAGAGAGCAACCTTAGCCCTATGCCCTCTGCCTTCTCCTTCTGCCCTCTGCCCTCCGTGCCTATTTAAGGGCCCCTTCTGGCTCTCTTTGCTCATTATTTCGTGTGGGTTCTCTTTTCCAGCGGCTCGCGAGAGCAAGAGAGAGAGAGAGCAACCTTAGCCCTCTGCCCTCTGCCTTCTCCCTCTGCCCTCTGCCCTCCGTGCCTATTTAAGGGCCCCTTCTGGCTCTCTTTGCTCATTATTTCGTGTGGGTTCTCTTTTCCAGCGGCTCGCGCCGGCGGCGTTCGGCCGCCGCCGCTCGCAAGCGCGGCCTTCGGTCGCGCGATCCTGGTGGCAAGGCAGCAAACTAAAGATCAGCTTACAAGGAGAGCACACATAGAACACACGCACGGTAGAACGGCGACACCAAGTGCTACAGGGATGCAATTCTACACGCGGCGGAAGCCTACATCGTGTACGGCTCCGCCCCCTCCATCTCCAGCATCGAGCGCATGCACGCCGACATTGCAAGAAGGAGATGCGCCGACGATTGAAGTGTGCCCACGGGGGTACCAACCCGAGCAGCCTCTACAAGATCCCCCACGTGGCGGGGGAAGGTACGCGCTAAGGGCGCTACCCCGGCGGGCGCATCCGACACGGGTGCCAACGGCGACTCGAGCGATTCTGCCAAAGTCACGCAGGATCCTCGAACCCCTGGACCGTAACTGCTCGGAAAGTTCTGCGTGGCCGCACACACCGCCAGCTGCAAGTTCGCCACCACCTCGCACGCCTCCGCCACATTCAGAATCCCGCACATGGTCAGCATGGGATCTCTCCCCGCGTGACTGGGGGGATGTGAAGTCGGCGCTTCGCGAGGGAACGCCGTCGGCCAGCAAGGAATCCGGCCAACAGAGAGGCGCTGCGCGGAGAAGCCCGGGACTTGACGAGGGGTGCGGAACTGTGGCCGCCCCTCTCTCGCGGGCTGATATTCGCGCAACGTCGGCGCGTGCAGAGGAGCCACCTGACCAGGGTCCGCGGCGATGGAAGGGCCGTTGGTCACCTCAATGTGTACGTGAGTCGGCTCTCCACTCGCCCGCGCCTGATGCACAACCTCCGCAAACGCACTCGTGGCTCGATCCAGGGCAGGATCCTGCCCGCGAGCGTTTCCGCCACGCCCACCGCCATTCCGCCGGCCACGCCGGCCTCCAGAACCAGCCGAATGCGGACGCGGAGGGGACTGCTCGCGACGACCCGTGTCCCACCGACGCCCAGGCGACCCCCTCCCCCGCGTCGCCGGAGATCGCCGCGGAGAGCGTTGCGCGGGGGATCGCGCTCGGGGTGAGCGCTGGCCTGCCCGACCACGAGGAGATGGGCGGCGTGGAGAACGAGGACGCGCAGGGGACCGCTGATCGCCCTCCCTGTGTTGATGAGGTTTGCGTTGCTCAGGAGAAGGTCGGCGAGGAGAGGGCTGCCTCGGAGCCTGACGCGGAGGCGAGCGCCCGCGCTCCTGCCGCGGCTGTCCGTCAGGGCGGTTCGTTGCAACGCGTGCAGGGGCCCACGAATACTCTGGCGAGGTGGGGCGCGCAGCAGGCCGTTGGGGAAGAGTCAGCACCCGCTCGAAGCGGCGGACGGGCTCGCTTGCTGAGGGGTGCGCGAGAAGACGCGGACGAGGCCCGGCAGGCGCAGGCTCCGGTAGTGCGCTCTCCGCGGAACCCTCCAGCTCTGGATCCCGTCCCGCGGATGGGTCCATCACCCCTGATCGCACCGCAGCCGACGCCAGCGCGCCGACGTAGCGAAAACGAGGCGGTCGCGGCGCCGCAGACAGGGCGTGAGCGAGCTGCAGTAGGAAGAGCCACGCGCGGAATCCGCGTGGGACGCGGCAGCCGCCGCGGACGACGGGGAATCGAGAGAGGACGAGGAGGTGGCGGAACACGGGGTTCCAACAGGCGCCGCACTGGTGCAAGCGGCTACGCGAGAAATGTGGAAAGGCTGACGCGAAACGGCGCGGAGGGCGGCGAGGAACCGCTTAGCGAGGAGGCAGAAGAGGAAGCGGAGAATGAGGAAACTGACGAGGG